CCAAATTTGGATGTTCCCTGGACTGAAATATTTGATGTAGCTCATGCTGTGGCTCATGCCCAGTGTGTTGAGCATCCTCATCCAGCAGTTCCTTATACTCAGTGAGAAAGTTTTCCAGTGCCCCATGAACCATCACATACATGTTTCACTTTTTGGGAAGCACTGGTTTCCTCAATCGACTTTCTCTGCTGTGATACAGAAACAGTTTGACTGTAGATCCCTTATAAAATAATCTCTGACAAACCTATACATTTATTTAAAATATAGAATCATTGTGCATTTCACAGGTGCTCTGGGGAGGTTGGCCTGGGCAGTGCTGCACACTTTCAGGGATCCCTGCACAATTTCAGGGATTCACAGAATCACAGAATTGTTCAGGTTGGAAAAGCTCTCTGAGATCAAGTGCGACCAGTAAATTCCCCCAGTACTGCCAAGAACACTGCTAACCCACGTCCCCAGGTGCCACATCCACATGGCTTTTCGATCCCTCCAGGGATGGGGAGTCCAACACTGCCCTGGGCAGCTGTGCCAAGGCTGGACAGCCCTTTCCAGGAAGAAATTCTTCCTGATGTCCAACCTGAACCTCCCCTGGCACAACTTGAGGCCATTTCCTCTCATCTTGTCCCTTGTTCCCTGGGAGCAGAGCCTGACCCCACCTGGCTCCACTCTCCTGTCAGGGAGTTGTAGAGAGTAAGAAGGTCCCCCCTGAGCCTCCTTTTCTCCAGGCTGAGCCCCCCCAGCTCCCTCAACTACTCCTGGTGCACCAGACCCTTCCCCAGCTTCGTTCCCTTCTCTGGACACATTCCATCCCCTCAATGTCTTTCTTGTCCTGAGCAGCTGAAATTTGACCCCAGGATTCAAGGTGTGACCTCAAAAGGGGGAATTTTTTGTTGAAAAAAAACCCATGCCAGTAACAAAGGGACATGAGACTGGAGAGGACCTTCTCAGTCTCCACATGCACCTGTCAGCCACCACAGCCACCACAGCCACGGTCCAACTGCATTTCAACATTACTAAAATCCTCAGCGTTTTCCAGTGTTATTATCATGGTCAAAGCCCTGTTTAATCACAGCCTCCATCTGGCACACACTTCAAAAGGGCCTCCTCCTTCAGATTTATCTCTTTAACTTCACTAGTGAATTTTCCATCACAGTGAATTTCCTGTCTCTCAGCCTGGAGGATGATTGCATTTGCATAAGACTAAACAAATCGGTGTCTTCACTGAGTCATTTTTAGACAAGACTTTAAGGTTTTGTTCTCCCAAGGTCAAGCTTTCTCCAACCCTCCTTGGCCTCTGAGGCACAGGGGGATGTTTCTCATCTTGACAAGCTCCCCTTTGGTTGGAGCCCTCTGAAGCCTGTTCTGGAGCTCTCCATGCTGATTATCTCCTCTATCACCCACTCCCTTCCAACAGATCTTTTAGAGACTGTCGACCTTCTCCTGCACAGCCATAAATCCTCAACTAACTTCAAGTGTAACAATATGTAGAGATGTTATCCCAGGACTCGGCTGAGCCTTCCGAGGCCCATTATCTCACAATCTTCTCTTTTAAAAGAACATTTTTGACAGCCCAGTCGTTTTCATCTTTTTTTTTCTTCCTGCTTTGACCTTGAGTTAGTTTATTCCTTCCTTTGCTGGATATTTTAAATGTTGCATGAAAAAATCCAATTTATTAAGCTTTTCCTATAGTAAATGATTAACCTGAATATAGTTAAATGAAATGCTTATTAACATCTCCCTGCATAATCCATTTAACAGAATTAGTCTTGCTTATTCAGACAACCTAAAGGGGTCCGTGCTTTTGTCTACACGGCATCAGCATTAAAGCTTATAATTATTTCTGGTTAATGCAGCCCTTGGTGTTAGGAAATGCTGGTTTGTGTGTTCCAGCACAGCACTTCTCCTAATCTCTTGTATTAATTAGAGATACTGATATAATAGTACTTTGTTCCTTTCTATTCAGCACCAGGAGAGATGTCTGAATATAATCCTATCTGTGCTAAGGGTGTCTTAAATATTTTCACAACTGCTAGCTGGTATAAAACATTAGGATTATGTAGAATAATCACTAAATTAGAAGAAAAGAGAGCTTGATAAGAGCACGTGGCCATCCTAGATGTGCACCTGGGACTTTGGGATCGGTCATAGGATTTTTCCTTCCACAGGGCTGACCCTGCATGTAAATGATGAGATGGCATTTCAGGTCCCTTCTAACCCAAACCAGCCTGTGAATCCATGATCTCTTCCCAGCTCTTCAGTGGTGCTGCTGTGTGTGTGGCTCAGCTGGATGTTACTCCCTCACCCAAAGGGATGCAGCTGCTCAGGCTCTGAGGAACATTTAATGACTTACCCATTAGCAGGAAAGAAAATTACTGCCCCTCCATGACTGAAGCTGACATTTTAAACTTACTAGGTCTTCTAAATCCTGGGTCATTTTATATTTCAGACATCAGACTTTTCATCAAGCTCATTTTAATCTTCTTCTAGGTGGAAATTCACTGTCTTTTAAGGTGTTTTAAAGTATCACTACCAGGACTCAGCTGAATTTGCATCACCAGCTCATAAAATCACAGAATCACTGAGGTTGGAAAAGCCCTTCCAGATCATCGAGTCCAACCATTCCCCAGCACTGCTGAGGCCACCACTGCCCCATGTCCCCAAGTGCCACATCCACATGGCTTCTAAATCCCTCCAGGAATGGGGACTCCACCACTGCCCTGGGCAGCTGTGCCAGGGCTGCATGGACCTTTCCAGGAAGAAATTCCACCTGATGTCAAACCTGAGCCTCCCTGGCACAGCTTGAGGTCAATTTCCAATCTCCCTGTCCCTTGTTCCCTGGAAGCAGAGCCCGACCCCCACCTGGCTCCACCCTCCTGTCAGGGAGTTGCAGAGAGCCAGAAGGTCCCCCTGAGCCTCCTTTTCTCCAGGCTGAGCTCCCTCAGCCACTTGTGGTGCTCCAGACCCTTCACAAGGGTTAGCACGAGGGGAACCAGACCGTTTGACCTTGGTTTCTATTACAGTCACCAAGATGTTGTTCTGGAGGAGGATCTTTAACTCTCTGGAGCCCAACCACTGCTCCTTCCCCTCTCTGTGCACCAAAAGCTTCACAGGCTGTAAAATCAGTTTTAAATGTCATGCTCCGTTGTAATGGTGGTGACAGGGATTATGTAAAAACCCAGGATAGCTGCAGATGTAATCACAGACTCAAATAATTCCAGCTTTATTTAATGCCTAATCACACATACCTGCACCATTATCTTCCTCCATGAATATTAAGACTGTGACTGTGTGTGTATGTGAAACAATGACATGGTAAGATTTCAAAGGGGGGGAAAGCAGCTGTTTTATGCTATTTTCAAATGTTTAAACCTTTTCATTTATTCCTAAAATAAGGGCTTAGTCTGACACAGGGAACCATCAAAAACACCATGAAAATTAGCAATCCAAGAACAAAGTGCCCTTGCACATGCAAATGCTCATGGAAGCAAGGGCTGCTTATTACTTACCAAAATAATTACTCCTTGTAGATGAAGGGCTGAGCAGACCACGCTAAGAACCTTTAAATTCGTAAATTGTAAAAGCTTGTTTACTTTTTCAAGTTTGTGAAACACCACCAAAAAAAAATCTCTGGAATTTTGTTAAGTTAGGAACAGCAAAGAATTCAGGGAGCCATAGGAAAAGTGATTCAATACTCTGAGGTGGAAAAGGACTGCAGAAGCTTATTAATTTTTAAGACCTTTTAAGAGCCAAGCACAATATTTTAAGCTGTATGTCATGCAGTAGGCTTACTGTGACATCATAATTGATAATTAAACTTCTCCAGATTTGCTTCTCCTTCAGGTTTCTCTCCCATCAAATTCCCCGGGTTAGGCAGCTCTGGGAACCATAACTCTTCTCTATTATCTGCCCAAGTCAGTGTCTTTTTCCCTCATTAACTCACCTCGTACCTTTGTGCTGAAACAATCCAGGTATGATTTAATAAGCCTTAGAAAGACAGTGCTGGTTCATATGCAGGAAATCAGATTTACATAATTTTCCGCTGGCTTTTATAGCTACCATAGTTCAAATTATCTTTAAGTTGAGGAAACTCTTTTAATACCATAAAATGAAACAGCACCTGTGCTTTGCTCCAGCAGCCTCGCCTGGGTCTGGTAATAAATTAAAGGTTGATTTGTCACACTGACTTCGCCCAGAAAGCCCCTTTTTAATGTGAGGAGGAGAGTGCCCTGTCCTGCAGTTAGTCATGGTTATCAGTCACTAAACTAAGCTGCAAAATCAGGTTTAATCTTGTTTTGTTTTGGTTTTATTACCTGAACCTTTCTGCATGGGGGGAAACCAAATGGGTTTTGGTTGTATCACTTACATTAATGTCATACATTAAAAACAGAGCTCATAGCACTGAGCTCTGTACAGACAGAAAAGGGACGTTTCTGTTCCAGTGTTTGGACTTAACAAGACTTGAAATTCAGGATTATATTTTTCTTGTATTTTCCCTTTCTTTGCATGTTAGTTTTTATTTACTCAGGAATTTGAGAAAGACTTTGTGGTAAACAAATAAGTAAAATTTCATCAAAGAGACTGGAAATACATAGGAATGTCTTTGGTTGAGCAAAATTGTCAAACTTTGGCTTTTAGACTTAGGCAGGAAATGAGTTGCTTTCCAGCAGAATTAAATCTAGTCCCCTCTCATTGCTTTCACTGTAGATCTTAATGCTCAGTAACTTCGAAACAGATCAGTTATTCTGATGGTTAAAAATGAAACACTCATCTGACACTAAGTACTGCCAGTTTTAAATGCTTGCCTTAAAAACAATTTATCCTCTTTAAACAAACAGGAATATTCCCTGAGCAGGGTGACAGGAGGGTTGGGCTGCTTTTCCAGTGTTTTCTCTGTTTTCAGGAGAATATTTCTGTTGCCCTAAGTATTATCTTAGAAGAATTAATGAAAGCTAAGAATTTGGTGGGAATTTTCACTGAACCCCTTTTCCTTCTCTCTGCAGCTCCCAGTACAGCCCAGTATGGGATCACCGGTGATGCCGAAGTCCTCTTCTCCTGCTGGTACCTTGTCTTGACACTGTCCTCCCTCAGTAGCATATTCTACCTGAAGAACATCATTCTGCACTAAATGTAAAGACCCATAAAAGGCTTTTAAGGATTCCCTGAGAGTGCTGATGACTGGCTCCAATCTGGTAGAGTTTGTTAAAAGCAGCGTGGGATATAATCAGCCGTGCTTACATGGGGATGATCGCCTTCTGTAGAATTGCTCATTATGTAAATACTTTAATTCCCCTCCTTTTTTTTTGATTAGCTGCATTACCTTGTGAAGCAGTACACATTGTCCTTTTTTAAGACGTGAGAACTCTGAAATTACTTTTAGAGGATATTAATTGTGATTTCATGTTTGTAATCGACAAGTTTTCAAAAGCATTCAGTCATGGTCTGCTGAGTTGCAGACTGTAGTTTACAAAAGAAAAAAGGATATTGCAGTAAAAATGTGCTTCTTTAAGGCTGCAATACAAACATTCAGTTCCCTTCTTGACCACCATTCTCTCCACATTTACACAGAAGCATTTGTTCTTTTTTGAGTAAAAAAAAAAAAATCAAATAATATTGCCTTCAAAGTACTTCTTCAAAATATTACACATATCTAGATTTTCTTCTAGCATGATATTCAGGTTTCAAGAATGAGCCTTGTATTATAACTGCATTGTGCAGTACTGCTTTTGTTCTCTTCCCTTTTTCCTGCAAATTCAGCATGGTTGTGCCTTCATGAAACACGACTTTCCTCTTCCTCTCCAACAAATCTGGAATGTGTTTTGGGAAATGCTAAAGCATCCTTTTGAGCATAAGAAATCTCTAGCTGAGGATGAAGGTGCTACAGGCTACAAGGAAAACCTCCTCTCCCATCTCCAGGAGGTCCACGAGCTGCTCCAGACGCAGGGTTTAGGTCAAGGGTAGCACCAAGTCCTTTTTGTTTTTACCTCCACCACCACTAACCAGTAGGTGATCTCTGTAAAAATTAGTTTTCTCATTACAAAACAGAACACAAATTATTTTGAGGCATCTTTTGAATGTAGGAAGGTTTCCTGTACTCATCCTAAATCCAAATTCCTACATGACTGTAAACAGCAGAAGCTGAATTGTCCCCTTTTGTATTACTGGCAAAACTGATGGGAATTGGTATTTTTCTTGCACTTAATTTTGTACTGGTTTGGCTAATTTAGCAATGATAAAGGATGCTTTTAAATCTTAGATATCTGAAAATACACAAAGTATCAAACAGAATTTTATATATATATACATATATCTATTAAAAGGAGGTTGCTCCAGTAATGGTACTGAAGTGCATGTTGCCGTCCACGGTAGGATCATCCTTCCAGGCAGGACTTGTGCTCACACTGTGCAGGTCCCTCCCCCAGCAGGGCAGTCCCCCCACACCATTTCCTAGTCCTGCAGCCCATGAAGATCAAGTTTCAAAACAGTGCATAACATTGCTTTTATTTTTTAAAACCCCTGGACAGTGTTAACATGAAATGTGCTCACAGTTTACATCTGATTTCAAACTGCCATCTGTGGGGCTTGCTGGGGCATGACTGTGGCCAACAGTCCTTGAGTCCCAGATGCCCTGGTGACCCCAAGAGGTCTTGACTTGCTCTCAAACAACTGTTCATGACACGAATAACAAAACCATTATCCCAGAATCCCAGACTGGGTTGGGCTGGGAGGGACCTTAAAGCTCATCCAGTCCCACCCCCTACCATGGGCAGAGACACTTTCCACTAGACCAGGTTGTTCTAAGCCCTGTCCAACATGGCCTTGGACACTACCAGGGGTGGGGCAGCCCCCACTTCTCACCATGATCATTCCCATGTTCTGTGTATGAGCTCCAGTAGCAGACACAAACATTACAGTACAACATTAATTCTCCTCACAGCAGGTTTTGGCAGAGAGCAGCACCAGCTGAGCCCTGGGTGTACTCAACAGTCCCAAATTCAGCACAGATATCCCATTTTTTCATCAAGGAGGACTCTGAGTTTTGCTACACTCAATATCTGCTGTCCCAATGTGCAGCCAGAATATGCAGTGAATCTGTTGTAGTTGCTGGTAAAGGGCATAAACAGAGGTGTGTTGACTCCAAAGAGATGTCCTGGGTCACTTTGCAGGTTCAGTGACAGACCAAACTATGTCTCGCATTATTTGCAGCTGTGTGCTAAGCAGTCACTATTTTCAGAAATGTGGCATTTTTTAAAACCTGGAATAACATGACAAAATCCATTCTGTAAGGAAAGAGTACAAATTCAACTCAAATTATATTGTACACAACCCTGATACTCTGATCTCTATTGTATTGCAGCTTTAAAGTGCTCTATTTTAGAATCCATTCACTAGAAACAGTGGTGCTGCAGGAAGATTCGTGGCAGTACAGTTTGATAAAGAAAAAAACAAGGATAGGGATAACTCAACCCATATGCCTCATCTCTTGTGGAATTGAGAGGTGGTTCTATGCTGTGGCTGGATCAGATCCTGCATTTTGGTGATATATTGCATTCCAGGGATCCCTGATATCTGGAACCTGATCTTTCCAGCAACAGAACAGAATGAACAGCAGCTTTATTAAATATGGAAACATAATACATAGTTAAGTGTTGACTGTTTGCATTCGGCCCAGGTAGAACCACTGGATGACAGGTACAAGGTTTTTAGTCCTATGTTTGAATTTTCACTTTGGGGGGGACATAATTATTGTCAGGTCAAAAAGAAGAAAAAAAAAATCCAGCCAAATTCCCAAATATCTTTAGGTGCCAATGGCATTCCTTAGGTGACACAGGGGTTGCTGTCTGAGGGAGCTGAGGGGGTGGGTGGATGAGGCTGCTGGGATGGGTGTCCTTAGGGTCTGTAGAGTTTAGTCTCCTGAAGGTGCTCTGAGACTCTGCAACCTCAATTATGGCTGGATTGGAGCTGGAGGCAGAGTGGATCAAATAAAGACGCTTGGTTCTTGTTGAATCCGTCCGTGCTGGATGCTTGGTGAATACCTGGTGATTGTACAGGCTGGGACTTACCAGAGTGTTCTCTCAAAATGGGCTGGGATGCAAATTGAACACAACATTCCACATTTTAGGAACTGTAGAATGAGAGAATGTTCTGGGTTGGAAGGAGCCTTAAAGCCCATCTCGTTCCAACCCTGTAATTTGTGGGGTGCACTTTAGCCAACTGTTTGAGTGTATGTTCTTCAAAATTCTGACCCATAATGTTCATATCTGTCGGGGAAATCTTATTATATTTATTCCCACCTTTCAAATGCAAAAAATAAATGGCTTAGCTGAATGTTTATATCGAGGTTGTTGTCCACATTGGAACCCCCAAAGTCTGGAAGTTCCTTCTTGTGCAGTAACTCGGGGCTGCCACCCCCAAGGCTCCGGGGCAGAGCAGTGGCGTTGCTGGTCGGGAATGTGATCCTAATACTCAATGAAAGGATGTCTCAACAACTTCTGCAACAAATGCAGTTTGTTCCTCAAGGGTTTAGAACTTGGCAGGATCCATCAGAGCTAGATAGCTTTTTTTTAAACTGTTCAATAGATTTATTTTTTTTTCCGAATCGTTGCTGTTTTTAAGACACAGGAGTGTTAAAACCCATCGCAGTGACAGCTGCTTTTTTGCACATTTTCTGAGAAAGTGTTCTAGATAGACAATGGCAAATGTTCTGTTACCAAAACCTCCACTGAGTCCACAGAACTGTGTTATGAAGAATGTGTATACCAAAATATGTATTTACATGGATAAACAATATGCCTTAAAGACTAAATATGCATTTACTTCTAAGACTGGGTCAGATTTGTGCCCAGTCTGGAGGTAAATAATCCATATTTCACAGCTGCCATGGAAGGCTTTGTTTCTTTGGAGAAAAAAGGGGGGAGAAAAAGCATTTCTTTTATAAGAATCTTAAATAACTTTTAAATTCTTGCATAAACTGATATATGTGAGGAAGTTTAGAAAAAGTATGGAGTTTAGCCTGACACTTCAGCACTGGCAATGCAGGGTTTGCTGTGGGGGCTGTGGTGCCACCCAAAACCTGGCACATCCCCTTTGATGTCCCCTTGTACACTCAACTCCCTCAGGTGGCCCTGAGCTGGGGCAGAGTGAGGGGCCTGGGTGCCCCCCCAATCCTGCAGGGATGGGGCCACCTCCCCACTCCATGCTACTGCTGGCAACACAAAATCCTTTAAAACAAGAATATGTTACAAAAAAATAGAATTTAAAAAAAAAAAAAAACCAGGAATTAAAAATTCTCCACTCAGCCTTAATATGGAGAGCAGAGAAGTCAGTATTGGTGTGGGAGGGAAGAATTTGCTTTGAATTTGACCAGCCATGAGCACGACCATGGCAGGGGCAGGCCTGTGTTTGCTCCTTATTTGTATTCCTCTGTTGAGCTTTGAGGGCAAGGGAGGGGATTTATGCTGTAATTGGCAAAGTCCATAATCTAACTGGAAACAGCCAGGCCAAGGCACTGGCACAGAGTCTGGGGATGGTTTGTGAGGGATTCTCAGTAAATCCTGCTCCAAGAGTTCTGTCTGAGCAAGGGCACAGGAGGTTTTACAGGGGCACCTTCAGCGCTGAGCACGTACCTGTTTGTTCCTATCCCCTTATGCCTAATTCATGAAGAGCTCCAAGGTTCCTTTTTATTAGAAAATTCTCATGTTAAAAAATGCGGAGATCAGCACATTTGCCACTTCTCATAAGCTTAGTTTTCAGTCATTCATATTTCAGGGTGTATTAAGCTTCCCCATCACTGGGTAGGATGAAAATCTGCATTACAGGATGGGGATTAGGGGGTGATTCCCACCCACTCTGGCTGCTCTGTCTTTGTCTGGGAAGGAGCTCAGCGAGGCTGTGGGGTCTCTGAGGGGGAGCTACAATGGGTGCACTTTAGTCCCCAGCCACTCTGCAGCCATGGCACAGTGCTGGCTCCACAACTCCTGACTGCCAGAGTTATCCGAGGTTTGGAGTCAATTTATGCCGAGAGCCATCCCGGTGATGGGAGAAATGCAGGAAGGACTTTCTCCTTGGCTCCCTCCCTGCACAGCACTGGGTTCTTCCACACAGTGAACTTTGAAGCACCCACAAACACCCGTGAAAACCAGCACAGTTAACAGGGATTTCCTTGCAATCCCTCAGCGCCTCAGCCCCAGGCAGTGGGAGGCAGGTACACCTTGGTCCCCAGTAGCAGAATAAATTACACTTCTTCAGCAGCCAGAATTTAAGGACAGGGAGGAGGGGACAGCAGAGTGCTGCTCCAGCCCCGACAGCCACAGGACTTTCCCCTCTTATCAGCCAAATATTAGAGTCCTCATTATTCCTACCCTCTTCTTCTATGCTGCCAGATAACAAACTGCCTGTAATGATGATGAATATTCTCCTCAGTATCTAGAGGGGGAAATCTGTTCTCTCCTAATGCTCATTCATCCCTCTCTTTATTATTTTTCAGCCCAAACCAAAACACAATTCGCACATTACACACCACGATTTATGTGCAATAACATCATTTTCCCACTTCTCATCCCCATTAGAGTCAGAAGCACATCACTCCCATTAACCTCCACGACAGCGACTTAAATGTGAACCACAAGTGAGAATAACCCTCCAAGATGAGCTGGAACAGCAGCAGCCTTGTTTTCTGGTGGGTGGCTGAGGGTGAGATGGCAGGGCCAGACTTCCCTCCCTCCATTCTGTATATATGTATCCAGGTTTTTTATATAAAACAGGCTTTCCTCTCCTTCGGGGTGGTTAATTCTGGCTGGGAGGTGCAGCCGTTCAGATGTGTTTGATATTTTGGATATGTCAGTCCAGGTGGAGCCGTGGCACAGGCGGGAGAGCGAAAGGCAGTGGGAGCTGCAGGACAGGCTGGCTGTACCACTTGAGCCTAATGAGACAGTTCCTGGCAGGAATTTGGGCTCAGCAGAAACTGTGGGAGGCAGATCAGTTCATTAGGCTGTGAAAGCTTTAAAACCTTCAAGGAACTGGTTCTCCTCTCCCATTTAAGTGAATTGCTGAAAGCACTGAGTTGTTCTTCCACAGAACTTCGAATTCACTGTTTCCTTCATTATCCTTGACCTTTTTACATGTATTACCGTAAGAAAAACCAAGTTAACTTTGGAGGAAACTACTGCAAATTCACCTCCCCCCAACCTTTTAAAAACAGAGAGCCTGGGAGGCTGGGCCAGGGGAGCAATGGGTCTAATTTGCCACTATATTCTATATAAAGAGGATTTAATGTCTGCTTGCCAAAAATTACAGATCATAAATCCCTGTGACTCATTTCTACATGGCTTTTAGCAAGACAGGTGCACAAATGCTCCCCACATTTGTGTTATGAGTAGCAGAAAGACAAATGGTGTGATGGGGCAAGACGCCTTCCCCTGTGCTGCTCCCAAAGCCTTGGTCCCTGTGTCTTGATCCTCATCTCTTGTTTCCCTTCTCTTAGCCCCCCTTTCTTGGTCCCCATTTTTTGGTCCCTGTGTCTTGGTGCTTGTCTTGATGCTCATCTCATGGTTCATGTCTCTTGGTCTCCATCTTTTGGTCCTCATATCTTGATCCCTGTCTCTTGGTCTCCATCACCTGGTGCCCTTCTCTCCCCAGCCACAGAGAAGGGGAAGGCAGGGGAGTGGGAGGAGGAGGCTGCAGTTCTCAGACTGAGCTCCCAACCCATAACATGGACCTTAAAGCCAGGACCAGGCATCAGGCAAACATCCACCAAAGACAACAGGGTGTCCTTCCTTGTGCACTGAGATCTGAGCTCCCACCGTCTCTAACAAGAAGTGCTCTGAGTTCAACTCAAACAAACCCAAAAGTTCTGTGGCGTCCTTCTGACTTAGCCAAACTTCCCTACCCAAGCTGGACACATGCACTCTGCCACCCTCGAGGGTGGGGTGTGGGGACAGTGCCCTTCCCTCAGCTGCAACAGGGCAGGGATGGCTGAAGAGACACGGTGTGGAAAAGACACCTGAGTTTTTCCAGTCTATCCATTTTTGTCGTGGGAGCTTCAATAAGTGTCTCGGTCTCTGTTTCAATGCCTTAAGCACCTTTTTGCAAAAGGCTACGATATAAGAGGGTACATTTAAGAAATTAATTTCCCAAAGTTAATCATGCTCAGCGACTCGGCTCCGGCACAGCCGCTCCCCTGGCAGCTGTGGCTCCTCAGGAAGCGCGACGGCGGCAGTGCAGTCAAGAGGCTCTGAGGAGTCTCCTGGCGTGGTATTTCTCTCCAGAAGATTGCAGATAAGACACTTAATTCTCCTGAAAAAAATCAGCTAAGGGCTTTGACCTTCTGTTTGAATGCAGAATTAGCACTCCGGGAAAGGTTAATGAACAGAAGGGAGTAGGGAAATTTGCACTGAAATACTCCTGAAATGGGTTTAAACACGTGCAGGTCTCTGGGCAGGTCTGTGGCTGAAGGAACTGCTCCCCTTGTCCCCCATGGCCACCAGAGAGGCAGCCTTCTCAGAGAGGGGAAAGGGAAAAGGAGGAGGAGGATTTCCTTCCAGAGGATGGGAAGGGACAGGGTTTCACTGCAGGTCTTGCCCATGGGAGACTTGTCTTGGTTCTCAGCTGAGACCCCCACGGAGAACACGAGACCTTGTTCTGGGCATTCAGAATATCTTCATTTTCCTGACAAACTGATCTTGAATTACAATTCATTTCTTTGCTTCCTCATGAAGCTGATGCTCGTGCAAAGTAATTATTTTGCCATATGGTGAAAGGTGCAATAATTGCTGATGGGCTCTTCCTCTCAGACTTGGCATCTCAACCCCTTTAGCAAGGATCTGCTTTATGAGTGTTGATTTGGCCAATTCAGACAAAAAACAACCCAACCTTCCTCCCCCATCTGCAAACTTTCTCAATTTCTAATTCTTCTCCCACCCAAAAATCATGGCACCACTGCTGTAAATGACAAATCATAATGGTAAATACTTGGGTGAGTCCTCACAGGAATGGCAAGAATTAAGGCCACTATAATTTAATAATCACTTATTGTGTTCATAATCTGTGTCATCAGAGGTGTTTTACCTGTATTTAATGCTCATGCTTTTAGCAAAACCTGGGAGTTGTGACAAGTGCTTTAATACATCAATAGATTACAAATATTGTGTGAAGAAATCCTTTCTACAGGCTGAGGCAGAAAAGCAAAATCAAAACTTAACCCAGTGGGTCGTGATGCAGGTACAGCTCAGTACCAGGCCAGCGACTTCATCATGGAATTATAGACTGGTTTGGGTGGGAAGGGACCTCAAAGATCATCCTAGTGATGATGGCACCAGTGCCCTTCGAAGGGTTAATAAAACGCATATTGGGAAAAAAAAACACATTTGTCATTTGTTAAATGTCGAGAGACACCGTCTGAAGACAAAAGCCAAGGCTTGGAGGGAGCGAGCCAAGTCTGTGTGCAATTATCCCTTGAAAATTCAAAATATTGTTATTAAAACAACTCTCAGCTCCAATTCTAGTGCAGTGATCACACCCAGTGTAGAGACATGTAAAGAATATACATTTACTCTATAGCAGGATGTGTTTGCACTCCCAGTATGGTAATGGCTGCTCTCCTAGCACCAGGCATCCTGCAATCCCAAATCCCTCAAACCCTTAAAATCTCTCTAAACTGCCTACAAACCTCAAACCCCAAGGTTTGACTTGGTGACTAAGGGACAAAGAGCAACTCGCATCAAAAATGAGACTTAGGGAATATGCTGGGAAGCATTAGGATTGCCCTCAGCTCCTGTCCTCCACCTTTTCCATGGGGGCATCTTCCCCTTTTTTCCCTGCTCCAGGATAAATTCCTGGGAAATAACAGAAATAGCATCCTGTTGGAGGGAACATCCTGTAAAGGCATAACATCTGGAGCAGGAAATAACATCCAAATGTCAAATTCACATTCAAGGATGTATATCCCATGCCACTGGAGGCTGGAAATAGACCTGCTGAAGTGTCCCTCAGTGATGGTGGAGCCCACCCACCTTCTTGCCCATGCAGGGCTCTGTGGCAGCAGAGAAAACCCATCCCAGTGTCCCTGCAAACCCATCCCAGTGTCCTTGTAAACACGTCCCAGTGTCCCTGCAAACCCATCCTGATGTCTCTGCAAACAGCCCCTGCCGTGTCCCACCTCCCCCAGAGGAGGGTGATGCTCTCAAAGACACAGCACCCAACTCTTATCAATAATTTATGCAAATGCACTTAGCAAAGCGCTCCCGCAGATGTTCTTAATTAAACCAGCCCAGCCCGAGCCCACATGAAGCAATAACCCCAAAATGCCTCCCTGCTCTCATATGTTCTGAACCACCGCTGCAGGATACTCCAGGAATATTATTTTTGTAAGAGTAAACCATTTTCTAAATAAGCCACCTGTTAAATAAACACTCCCACTCTCCAAATATTGTTATTTTGTTTTCCAGACTATGCACAATCTGGATTTATTTTAGATGAAAAAAGATAATCACTAAAGCAGAAAACCCCCAAAAAACAGTATTTTGACTATTTACAACTATCCATCTTGTGTGCACATCTGCTCCTTTGCAAGCTGGCAGAGCTCTTCCATTAAAAGAGATTCACAGTTCCTTATTCAGCCGGGAGCTAATGAATTTCCTTCATCAGGCCTCAGCACTCTTTCATTTTTTTCAACTTCTTCAAGCCTTGAATTGCTCCTCACTCCCCTGACTTCCCTTTCTGTATCTTCTCATAGGGACAAATCCCCACTCAAGATCACTTTAGCAAATTTGCCACAGGAGTAAGGACAGAGTTTGTCTCCTGTTCCATCATACTTTAAAAGCCAAGCTCACCCTTGTCCCACCTCAGACCTGTCTGTACAAGAACATCCTGCTGCACCACAGCCCCTGGAAACCATGGAATAGAATAGAATAGAATAGAATAGAATAGAATAGAATAGAATAGAATAGAATAGAATAGAATAGAATAGAATAGAATAGAATAGAATAGAATAGAATAGAATAGAATAGAATAGAATATTGCAGTTGGAAGGGACCCTACAACAATTTACTCCAAGTACAGGATGTTAAAAGCCAACACTGCCCTTAGAGCTGATCCGTGGCCCCTTATCTCCATTGTGATGAATAAGCTAGGTCAGACAGAATTGTGGAATTGTTTAGGTTGGAAAAGCCCTCTCAGACCATCGAGTCCAACTGTTCTCCACCACTGCCAAGGCCACCACTAACCCATGTCCCCAGGTGCCACATCCACACAGCTTTTAAATCCCTCCAGGGATGGGGATTCCACCCCTGCCCTGGGCAGCCCCTTCCAATGCCTGAACACCCTTTCCATGATGAAATTTTCCCTCCTCCAAACTAAACCTTCCCTGGCATGGCTTGAGGCCATCTCCTCTTCTGCTGCCCCTGGTTCCCTGGGAGCAGAGCCTGACCCCCACCTGGCTCCACCCTCCAAGGAGCCACAAGCACCCACTGAGTGGTGTGTGCAGACATTTACCAGGGATTTTAAATGACTTTAGGGATTTTCTGTTCTCGTATCTGATCTTGTTGTCTCAAATAATTACTCAGCTCAGGCAGAGGTTTAGGGATCCCTGGGGACATCGTGCTCCTGCTGTACCTGCACAGAAAGCTTGGCTGACTTGGGGAGAGACTGTGCAGGCTCTTATCCTGTGAGAATAATGGCACATGAGAGCAGCCCCATGGAAATCTGACTGATTGGCAGTAAAAGCTGGGAAGGTGATCATCTAAGTGCATAAAACGTGGCCATAAAGGCACTCTGGCATTATGAGCTCAGGAAATTGCAGGCGTAGAACTGGCCTAAACTGCTTTTTCCAATCAGCTCCATTATCCATCCCCTGGTCTCTCTCACAAAGAGCCTTTGTGAGCACAGTTCTTTGGGGCTGTTTTACATGTTCATGTATATTTTCCTGCTCTTTGACACTCACCACCTAGCAGCTTGGCTCCATAACCTGTAGTGGATATTTCTTCTGTGCCTTCCGAATGAGGCAGTGGCAAAATCCTCCAGGCAAGTCTCACACTGTCTTTAACAAGAACCCTTTCTTCACCCAGTTTTCACCCAGCTACAGGTTTACCTGCATCTCTTAAACACTAAACCCCATCAGCTCATGATATTTTTCCAAATGCTTTTATACATCTTGACTCTAATGGAGATTCTGAGCAAATTTCACAAAGCCTGTGTTACCCATTTCACCTCAAATGCAGTTCATGAATTAATGGTGTCTGTTAATTGGGCTGCTAATCCCTCTCCCAGAAAAAAAAATTAAAAAACAACCCAAAAAATATCATAATGCTTCTCATTTTTAGGTACCATGTTGTAAACATGTTAAAGATACTTTAATAAATGAGAGGCTTTAATTAGAGCAGAGCAAGTTCAGTATATTCATATACATATAATAGATATATGTAGGATAAATGAAGAAAGAGCTGGACCCTTTTAAGACAGACCCTTTCCTCAACTCTCCATCTCAGCCTTTTCCACAAAGAAATCCAGGATTCGTTTCATTCAAAGGATAGACTTTAAATTTCTATACTCCTGTCAGGGCAGCATTAAATATTAAAGCCAGATATTAAAATTTCAAGGAACCTAAATTAAACCTGAGGTATTCAAAAATAAGTGTCCCTGAATATTTCATGGTAAAGATTTTGTAATTAACTTACTTCAGAAATCTCTCATATGAAGAAAGTGAGGAGCTACCTAGTAAAATGTGACCATCCCAGCGACCTTCCAGAGGGCTGCTCTCCATCCACTGAAGAATTTATGTTTCTTGGGCTCTGTGACATCTCTATGGCTTCCCAAGGAAGCCTTGCCAGCCCTTTGTCTTCTCCAGGCTGGAAAACCCCCAGAGCATCCCAAGTGTCCCATCCCTCATGCAATAAACAGACTTGTGTGTGGAACCAAAGGGGCCAGGACTCACCAGAGCAGTTCACCAACTTCAGATTTAATGAGACAACAAGGAGATGTTATTTATGGCTCCTTTAACTTTGAATGTCCTGTGAAAAACTCCTAGATTTACTAAGGAGGAGGAGCAAAACAACTCAAATCAGGACAGGGTTTGTAGCCTCTGTAAGCAGGATTTCTTCCATTATTCAGAAGGACAGGCTGACATCCAAGGAGCAATTGCCCATTAGTGTCCTCCAAAGATCTTCCAGCTGGACCACTCTCAGTTTCCCACCAGCATCAGATTGTTTACAGCTAGCACTGATAACATCTGCTCCTGTCTGCACAGAAAGCTTTGGGAGAGAGCTGGCCCAATATTTCAGTGTCAGCATGGGAAAGCAGCTAAAAATACCCCAACAGATAATATAACAATTTCAATGTGGGTGTCTGTCTGAGCTTGGGAAATTAATGCATATTAAAATGGTCTGAGAAGATGCAAAAAGATAGTAACCAGCTCTAAATCAACGCAGCAGCAGCAGCAGCGTAAGGGCATCTCTTCCTCCCTTCACCCGAGTTCTTGGGGCTGTGAAACAACCCTGTTTATAATGCACTTCTTTGAATTCATTATATAAGAATTAAATTTGTTACTCTAAAGGCTCCAACCCATGTGCCTTTTTGTAAAAGGAAAGTTGCTATAAACCAATGCTGTGCCAAATTTTTACCTCTCTTGGAGAATGTGAGTGCAGCAAATAAAGCCAGTGATGTACAGCACAGCTTGTACCAAACCAGAAGGCCCTGGGTGCTGTCCTAGGTAGCCAGCTGACAGTCTGTGCATGTTAAGGCTGTGGACTAAGCCTGAGCTACTGTTTAAAACTGCATAATTAACCATACATAATTAGCAATACTCTCAAAGAAGCCAGTTCCTGGGATCACCAGCACCATTTGCTGCCTCTGCTCTGCCCACGTTTGCAGATAAGGGGGATCCTGCTATTGAAAGTTCTTATACCTGTGGAAATCTAGTAGAGATCAGTGTAAATAGAATATGAGAAGTAAGTCATTGCCTTCAAACACTGTGAAGAGGCTTAAATGCCTTCCCAAAGGAGAATATTGGTCTATGACAATGGGCAAAAGATAAAGAGCAGATTCAATGGTACAGACTGTAATTTAATATTCACAGTTCATCTAATCAAAGTAAACACACCCTTTCATAGGAACATGTCGAAGTCATTGAATTATTGTGGAAAAGGGAAAGAACTTAGTGAACTTAGTCAGTGGTGATACAAAATAATTACCAACCTTCAGAAGTTACAAAGCAGGCTACTGGGGCTTGAAGCCATCTGTGGAGGAGATCAGCTCAGGGGACGCCTGGGAACAGGGGAACACCTCTGCCCACCGTGGGGCCACTGCTCCAACAGTACCTTGAGGACGTGAGACAATTTTAGTTATTTCTCCAGAACCTTCTCTAATGCACTTTTCTCATAAAATGTCTTGTGACTTCCTTAGGAAAGCATGGAATCATGGAATGGGTTGGTTTGTGAGGCACCTTAAAACCCGTCCAGTTCCACCCCCTGCCATGGGCAGGGACACATTCCAGTGTCCCAGGCTGGTCCAAGCCCTGTCCAACCTGGCCTTGGACACTTTCAGGCGATGGGGCAACCACAGCTTCCCTGGGCAACCTGTGCCAGGGTCCCACCCCCCTCACAGGGAAGGATTTCTTCCTAATATGCCAATATCTAACCCTGCCCTCCCTCAGCTAAAAGCCATTATCAGAAGACAGAATAAACCAGGGTCCCAGCAGGGTCATTCCTGTTTGTCCCCAGTGCCATCATGGGAGCCTTGGCTCCAGTGCAGTGATATTGTGGGAGTGTTACAGAACAGGGCAGGGCCCTGGCAGGGACAGCACAGCACGAGGGACAGCAGTGACTCTGATTTATATCTCAAGGGGAATTAATTCATCGTTCACGCAGGACTTACCATGGCAGCAATAAATCAGTTTGCCTGATAAAGGCAGCGGCACTAAAGAATTCTGAGATCTTTTGCCAGACTGGAAAATGCAGCCTCTGTCTTCCTTCCCTCCTCAGCCCTGCTCAGTGCTCACAGTGCTGCCTTTGGAAAGGGTCAGGGGCAGAAAACAGAGCAGAGAAAAACCTTGAAGGCATCATAGAATAGAATCACAGAATATCCTGAGTTGGAAGGAACCCACAAGGATCATCAAAGTCCAACTCCTGGACACCAGGTTCATGCCACACTGCAACAAGTAACTGAATTTAATCCTTAATTTTCCTATGATAGTTTCAAAACAGTGAGTTTAGAGTTTGCAGGCCATGTTTATACCATTTTTCCTTCATTCTCAGGTGGTGGGCAGCTGTGGTTTTATTTTGCACCAAGTTCTTTCTCTAATATTCATCCCCAGTCATCAACAAAATAAGTTAATAGATGTAGGCGACTGTAATGACAGTAAATGCTGTGTGGGAGGCACCATCCATGCTGCATTGTCAGTTCCTGCATGTGAAATTAAATATCCTATTCCAGGCAAATGCTAATATATTCCAGGAGCACTTTGCCATAAACAAATTTTTAAAAGGCAGTAGAATAAAAAGGTGATATTAATGATATATTGAAATAATCTGGTGGGTGTGAGGTTAGGACTGGGTTTTTTCTGGAGAGTCTGTCTTCCTATTGGCATGAAATGATCTGAATGAAAGAAACATCCAGGGTCTCACCACTGCTGCCCAAAAATGGTACAGTGGCATCAACCCTCATTTGTGAACAGGATGTTCTCTTATAAATGGGCTTTGCTGTTGGAGCCAGAACCACGGGACACATTACAGCCTGGCTTCTGCTGAAAAATTATGTGAAAGACAAAACATAAAATCATCTCAGAATACCAGATTGGGTTGGATTGGAAGGGACCTCAAAGACCATCCCTTTCCACCCCTGCCATGGGCAGGGACACCTTCCACTATCCCAGGTTGCTCCAAGCCCTGTCCAACCTGGCCTTGGACACTTCCAGGAATGGGGCAGCCACAGCTTCTCTGGGCAACCTGTGCCAGGGCACCCTCCCAGTGAACAATTCCTTCCCAATATCCCATCTAAATCTCCCCTCCTTCAGCTAAAGGCCAGGTCTGGGCTCCTGTAGCGCAGGACAGAGCATTCCCCTTAGGTTTAACAAGCACTGCCTGTCTTTGAGAGATTGTAACTATTGATTATTCCTCTGCCCTGATGGACTTTGGATTTTTCTCTCCTGTTTTACACAGCAGCAATCAGGAAGCTGAGGATACAACAGCATATTGAGCCCTGAGCAAAAACACCTCAGGTTCTGGTGCATCTTGCTTATATTTTAATTACTCCACTAATACAGGGAGGATTTTGCAAAGCAGTGCCCTGAATAACACCTTGGTTTGGAGCCATATGTTCTTCATTCCACAAAATATCTTTCGTTGGTGATGCAGACCACAAGGCTTAGCACATTTGCATATGATAAGACAATTTAAAAGAATAAATAAGCTCAGCATTAAGCAGCCAACATGACAATAACACCTGAGTGATGCAGCAGAGATTAGAGCTAAAAATAGCTTAGAACACCAAAAATACTTGCAGACAAGTAATAAAAGTGTGTTTTCAAGGTGATTTATTAGGAATTATGAAGCAGTCCTGGCTTTGTGCTGAGCTGTGAACAGTGAAATTGGAATAAACAAAATAATCTTGCTGTGTTAATAACTTGCTCTAAACTCCCCATATGTATCACACTCTTCCTGGTTGCCAAGTGAGGACCATGACTTAAAGGAGAGATTCTGTGTAAAATCTTTATCTAACTAGAAAGAGAAATGAGTGAAGGTAGAGACACTGACCCTGCTCATGGGAATGGGGAGGAAAGTGCCAGGGTCTGCTCCAGGAGGTAATTCCACTCCTCCAGGGCAGGACTTAGCCGCTCTGGGTTGGAGAGGGATAAACGAGGCCATGGCATTGCTGGGGGTACCATGGCAGTGCTGGGGAAGACACCTTTGGAAGGTATTCTCAGAATGTTCTGCCAGGGAAAATAGACACGGTTTCCACAATGAGGGGAATTAAGAGCCAGTTCCACCTTGCCCATTCGAGCTGATCCCTGCCTGGAACACCACAGAGAGCCAAGGGGAACATTGGCGACCTGGAGCTTCAGCAGCTCTCCATGGAGCTCACAGGGGGCAATGGCAGGGCCTGGCTTGTGGGTTTGAAATAAAACAGAATACAGGAAATTAAATGAAATCATATATAAAATAAAAATCTACAATTACATTAAATTCAATTACATTAAATTAAACAAACAAAACCCCCTCTCTGCCCAAGATCCATTTCAATGTGCTGGTGGAATTCCACACATCACATGGCCAATGGCCATTCGATATTTCAAAAGTGCTCACTCTCATTTTAGAATCAGAGTCACAGAAAGGTTTGAGTTGGGAGGGACCTCAAAGTTCATCCAGTCCCATCCCCTGCCATGGACAGGGACACCTTCCACTAGATCAGGTTGCTCCAAGCTCCACCCAATCTTGAACAGCTTTTGCTTCACTTGCTGACCATGCCACGCTCAGTGATAGTCTTTCCAGTACCTCTTGGCCAGGAAAATGAAGGAAATGCCAGTCTCCAGCTCTGAGGGTTTCAGGGTGAATTTGGAAGCGGAGAGCCTGGTTCAGAGATCCTGTCCCCACCCCAAGGCTCTGTGGGGCACATACACTGAGAGAGCCATGTCACCAGGCTGGCTCTGAATTGCACCTCTGTTCCAAAATTCCCTTTCCTTGCCTTTTCTCTGCTCTGAGCCCAAAACTTTTGAATCCTCATTGTCTGGTTTGCCAATTCCCATCAGTGTTCTTTGTGCGGCAGCTCCCCAGGTCCCAGCGCTCAGTGACATGTGGGAGCACACACAGCTACCAATAAATACATCAACTATGACAAGGGACTTTTATAAGCAGCAGACTTTTAGGAAAGAGAATAAAGCATGCATTAGAAATCCTGTTAACAGTGTTTGCCATTACTGCAAGAGGGAAAACAGCTTTCCCAGGGATTTGATTTCTTTTTTTCTTCCTAATGAGCCCTGCTCTCTTCCCATCACCAACAGACAATGTTGAATATTAACAGTTACTCAGCAGTTATCAGGTTTAGATTTCTTCATAATGCCAGTGATTCCAATAACGTTGTTGCTCCACTCCTATATAATTTCTGTGATAAATATGGATAGCATTCAGCACCAAAGCTCACAGTTATGCTGCAGAGGGACCAGGAAGGGTATTTTGGTTAATTCAGTCCTGTGCAGATCATGAAAAACTATGTCAAAGCATCATCAAAGAGGGTTTTGCCAAATAGTTGTTCCTCAATTTTTTCAATAACAAAATCCAGTATTTTTGAGGATCTCCAGCATCTCAAGCACAGAATCACAGAATCAGAGAATTGTTAAAGTTGGAAAAACCCTCCAGGATCATTTGAGTCCAACCTGTGACCAATCCCCACCTTGTCACCCAGCTCAGTGAGTGCCATGGCCAGTCGTTCCTTGGACATCTCCAGAGCTGGGGACTCCACCACCTCCCTGGGCAGCCCATTCATTCTGTGAAAAAACAGATTTAAATGTGTCACTGCAGGTGCTGCAGCTCCATCTGCCCTCTGTGAACCACAGTCAAATGGCATCAGAAGGGGACAGGACAAGGACCAGCCCAGATGTTTCCAGTTAAAACTGAAGGAGCAAATTATTCAAAAAGGTCTTAATTATTGCTACCCATGCAAAAGAAACAGTAGATGACAGGATGAGTTCTGTGAGAGGCAGAGTAAAGCTCATTTCTAGGACAGGAAAAATTTATTATGAATGTGTATGAACACAGTAAAGCAGCTACAACCCTCTGATTATATTTTTCTACCAATCAGGTCTAATATAGAATCATATAATTCCAGATTGTTTTGGATTGGAAGGGACCTTAAAGCCCATCCAGTCCCACCCCTTGCTATGGGCAGGAACAATCTTCCACTATCCCAGGTTGCTTCAAGCCCCATCTAACCTAGCCTTGGACACTTCCAAGGATCAGGCAGCCACAGCTGCTTTGGACACATAAGAATGTGGTATATTTTGTACTACACCCAGGAAGAGGAGCATTCTTGCATCTGTTAAACTTATTTGCATGAGGGGTGAGGATATGGAGCTGATATTCCCGACTTAATCTCCCTGTCAGCCTCTGAAAGCTTGAAAAGCTTGAGAGATAAACCCCAATCTGAGCAATCACGCAGCAGCTCCCGATTACACGGCTCAAAACACCCGATCAAAGCACGTGTATGAGCGAAGTCACTGCACTGTTAATGCCTCCCTTTCAAAAAATGCACCTGAGCGTGGCACCGACACAGGTCACAGAGGCAGAGCCCGTGTAAGCTCCAGGAGCTCCCACACAGCGCATCACTGCAAACTGTTTTCTTCTGTGGCAAGTGCTAATTCCTAAGGTAATGAATGGATATTGAATGTACAGTGGGCTTGGTGTTCCATCTCCCCAGTCCCTTCGTTTTGGCAGGTTTGATGCGGGTGACCTTTCCTCGGCAGGGGTTTGCTGTTTAATTACAAGCTGGGGGAGCTGGGCTGTGCAATGGAATCGCTCCGTAGCCAGCGCTCCCTGTAACAGGGGCTGCCTGCTGGGAGCCGGGCAGGGATCACCCAGCAGGGCCCTTTCGAAATCACTCAGCAGAATTACAGTGCTGATGGCAAAGCTACTTACGGGCAAACAGGGTCAGGGAGGCATTAAAGAGGCACGAAGGGGAGCCTGGCAATACCCACCCGCTCGGAACACAAAGCTTCCATGGCAGGGCTGGTGCTGAAAGCAAACATTTGTACAGCCCTTCACCCATGGAAATCCAATCAGCGCTGGGGAATTAGTGCTGGGGTGTAACGAGGGATGAGGGGATGGCTGGGATGCATGGGATGAGCACCTGCCCGAGCAGCACTTCCTTTGTGTTCCAGTGGTCTCACTGCTTCCCTGCTCAGTGCTGTGCAGGCTCTGGGGTCCCCTGTGCCCCTCTGATCCCCTGCAGGCAAATCCCAGAGTGTCCTGGAGATACCATTTGACAGCCCATGGTGCCGGTCCCCAGCACACTGACGGAGGGAAGAGTCACTTCCCAGTTAGTGCAGCACAACCAGTGAGATTCCCAGGAGGAAGAGCCTGAGTAAATTGAAACTGTTTATTAAAATGAGCCTCAAAAGAGAGAAAAACCAAACAGGAAGGACTCAGCAGGAATCTGACCCCCTTTTTTTTCCTGGGACCCCATTCATAGAATCATTAAGAATCACAGAATCATTAAGAATAACAGAATCATTACGATTGGAAAAGGCATCCAAGATCAAGTCCAACCATTCCATCATACTGCCTTGGAAATTCTAAAAGGGGGCTCATTTTACATAAGGTTGATGAATGAAAATAAATATTTTCCATTCATTTTAATCTCTTAAATGTTAAAAAATAAACCTTTTGCAGAAGACCAGTCTTCTTTTTGTTGCAGAGTAAATGACTGAGGTGAATCCTCAAGTATAAAACAGTTTTTTCCAAAAGAATGTTCTAAATGGCACCTGCCAGGTTTGATATGTGTGATGTAAGAACTAACAACCCACAATAATAAAATGGTCTTATTAAAATAAATACAAAATCAGAGAGGTTTAATGAAACACAGCCAAGTGCCCTCAGTGGCTTAAACAAAGCAATCCCTGCCAGGATTTGTACCACAGAAAGAGAGGGTTGGCCCAGGGTGTTTGCTTATGAATCTCCATATTCATTCACAGTAAATATTGGACTTCCCTTCTCATTTCATATGGAAAGTGAGCTGGAACAGTTACATTAAAATATGTGAAAGAATAAAAATCAACCTACAAATGGAGGTATTTGACTGGTGTCCAAGGGCACAGTAAAATAGGCAAGTTAATACTGAGTAATTACAAAGTGTTTCCACCAGTTGTGCTTACTGTGACACACTGGCGAACCAAAGCAAGGAGGGAGGCATGGCATGAATATAAACAACTACAAATATGCTCATTTGTATGAAGAATATCCCATACACACACCTTAAATGTAAAAGAAATAATTTTTATATACCTTCCCAAAGTATATATATAATTTTTATATAATTTCCCTCAGTTTAGTTAAGTAAATTTATTCTAATTTTATTAATTGTCAGACTGAAAAAAACTCAACCACGAGAGGAAACTTAACATCTGACTTATAATGAATTTCAGGACTGTAAACATTTAGCTTGAGGTATTGGCAAATATCCCAAATAATGTTGTATTTTATTCCAGGACAAATTATGTAGCATCCAGATAAAAGCAAAGCCAACTCCTGCTCCTGTTTGAGCATGGGCAATTTTCTCACAGGTGAATTGTTTCCTGAATTCATAGTAAATCCAAGAATAATCCCAGGTTTGGGTTGGAAGGGGCCTTAAAGCCCACCCAGTTCCACCCCTGCCATGGGCAGGGACACTTTCCACTATTCCAGGTTGCTCCAAGCCCCGTCCAGCCTGGCCTTGGACACTTCCAGGAATGGAGCAGCCACAGCTTCTCTGGGCAGCCAACTTGGAAGTGTTTCTGTAGAATGTGCAATTCACACAATTTTGGAGCCATAATTTCACTCCTTTCTGGGCAATACCCGTCCCCCCTTTCTCTGCCAAAATTCCTGCCTCCAGCCCAACGTTCAGTACCTGTGTGGAAAGATCACATATTGTATGTGTTTGTTTTCTGGCTTGTTTAGAACTGAGAACAGAACAAGCCAAGCGAATCCAAGGAAATCAAACCCGTGGCAGTCCCTGGTCACCCTTGCACTGCTGCAGGAATCTATTCCCGTGACTGGTGCAACTCCAACTGCATCAAATTCCACTTAAACTCCATCAATCAGCAGCAGCCGTGCAGAAAGCACATTTCCAAAGCTCCTCGGGGGGTGATGGAGCATAGCCAGGTCCCCACCTTGGCTCCAGGGGCAGCCAGGGCTGGGCATTCCTCACCTATCCAGCCAAGGCTGAGGGCGCATTCCTTGTGCAGCCATTCTTCTCTTAGCCTGACAATCCACCATGTGGTGCTCTCTCCCAGGGAGGATCTGATCCTTACTGCCAGGAGGGATCTGATCCTCACTGCCAGGAAGGATCTGGTCCCGTGGCAGTGGTGTGGCTCCACAGGGGGAGGTGGGGTGTGCAGAACCCCTCCTTGCGGGACCCAGAGCCACCGAGAGGACAAAGCCATTTAACACAGTAAATGCACAATGGTTGAGTCACTTTTCCCTACGTTCCCATTGCTCCTCTTGAGGATTGTATTTGATTACAGAATCAGGTTGCAGATTGTACATTGTGTCACAAGTAGCAAAGGATACTTATTTATATATCTATCTATATATATTTTACTGGGTTTTATTCATTTCTAAATAAATCATCTCAGATGCCAGGGTATGGTGAGGATTTTAGGTTTTAAAAAGTGGTTTACAGTAACTAAATTAAACAGATGCCTTATTTCTGAGGATTGCAGGATTTTTTTGAAAAGAAACAAGCCCCTATCGCAAGGTCCCTGCAGGAATCCCAGCAGGAGATGAGCTGAGGTGGGGAGGGTGTTTCTGTGTAAAGCCAACATGGCACTGGGACAGGACCAATCTCTGCAAAAGAAGTTGATGTTTGAAAGGAGCCTTGAGATCCCAGGCTTGGGTTGGCATTCCCAGACCTGAGTGTTAGCCTGACCCCTCCTAACCCTCAGGAAGTGGCTGGTGCCTTTTCGGGGGGTCTCAAGCCAAGAAAGACAATTCCAAGCAGAATTCTACAGTACATGGAATATCTGCCTCCATGCCCACACAGATCGTCCTACTTGCAATTAAATATAAAACCTCTTTGAAACACATGGATATTTTTTCCAAAGTCACTCATTGACTTCCCTATCCCCTCACTGCTGTACAATAGGCAGGGACAAGCCCACTTTTCCAGAATTCATTCCCTAGGGTAACAGCAGAACTTTTCCCAGGATTAAAACACAGCGACACTTCCTTTTTTTACATTTGTTTGATTAGCTTAACCTAAAGTTGACAGAGTCCCTAATTCTTCCCAGATCTCAGCTACAGCCTGTAGGGACGAGTGTATTTATTTCCGCATCTGTTCCCCAAATTAACTCAGAAAATTATTATGAACGAAGGGTTCTTGGTAGTGCCCGGGGAAGCTCTTCTGGAACATTCCATCCCAGCGATCTGCCAGGATCATTCCTCACACAACTGTTTCCTCTCCTTTTATGTTCTACTAATTGCAAGGGGAATATAACACCACTGCAGGGTTCAAATCTGTTCTGCAGGAGTCCATGGCAAGACTTCCATTGACTCCAGTGGATCCAGAATTCCGTGAGCTGTTTGTTACGCTGTCAGACAGAGCAGACCTTGTGGCTCCGGGGACAAACTCCCAAACCACCCACTGTGGTGTTATATTCCCAAACCCTCTGCTCTGGCATTGGGAACATCCTTGAAAGGGGTTTCATTGGAGATGTGAACCCAAGGAAGGGTTGGTGTGTCATCATGTTTAACACTCACCACAAAGTACCCTCTGGAACCAGGATTCAATACCAACTTTCTCCAATGTACAGCATTTTAGGATGCATGTAGTATCTTTAGTAGCCACAGATCTGCCATTTGGGGGCTGCAGCCCAGTAGGATGTCCCCGTGTCCCTCGCTTCGATGTACTCTTGTATGGGTTAGAGAAGATGGCCTCTGTCGTGCGTTGTTCGTGAGCTGTTTCTTATCCCAGAGAGGTGTACGATGTAAAATACGTCAGTGCAAAGTGTATATTTTATGTGAGAGGAAAATACATTTTAATAAAGGTAAAGCTTTGTTTAGCTGTAAAAAATGGCAACTGTTCAAGTGTACAGTAACTTCTTACTAATGTATGAAAATCTGTGATATTTTTGATTTGATTGTATTTGTATTGCCCAAATAAAACATTTTGGCTGTATTGTTCCTAACTCTTACCTTTTCTTTCTAAAGGGGAAAGTGTATTTATTCCACAATAATTTACTTTATTCAGGGAAAAAAAAAAAAAGGAATGACCAAATTTTCCATAGTTGCCCCGAGTGAATGTCCCTCTTGTATTGCAACCCCTAAAATGAATTTCTAAATTGATTTTTCCGCCCCTTGCTGTTTATTGGTAAGGAAGAAACAATTCTTCAGCTCAGGCAGAGCTATTGATGAGAGTCCTTGAGGGCTCCATGAGGGAAACCCTGCAGAGAGAGGGCTTGGCTGAGCTGTGATATCTTGGGGGATGGTGGCATTTGTGCCTTTTTCTATTACTTTTTATTCTTTAAGGGAAAATATAAATGAAAAAGACTCAACTAGAAGTCCAGGCAGCACAAGGTAGCTGCATCCAAAGCTAAAGCTGTGAAAATGGCTATGCCAGGGAAAAGAAGTAAAAAATAGACATAGTACCATTATCTCGTTAGTATTATTATCTTTTTAGTGTGTATGGTGTGAAGAGATTTATATTTGTATATATATAGTATTAGTACATAGGGCTATGGAGATGCTCCAAGGGCTGGAGCCCCTCTGCTCTGGAGACAGGCTGGGAGAGCTGGGGGTGTTCAGCTTGGGGAAGAGAAGGCTCCAGAGAGACCTTAGAGCCCCTTCCAGGGCCTAAAGGGGCTCCAAGAGAGCTGGAGAGGGACTTGGGACAAGGGCCTGGAGGGACAGGACAAGGAGGAATGGCTTCCCACTGCCAGAGGGCAGGGTTAGACGGGATATTGGGAAGGAATTCTTCCCTATGAGGATGGTGAGGCCCTGGCACAGGTTGCCCAGAGAAGCTGTGGATGCCCCATCCCTGGGAGTGTCCAAGGTCAGGCTGAACAGGACTTGGACCATCCTGGGATAGTGGAAGGTGTCCCTGTGCATGGGACGGAGTGGAATGAGATGAAATATAAGGTCCCTTTCAACCCAACCCAGTCTGGGATCCTGTGACACTCCCAAGCCAAGCATTTTGCTGGTACAGGCTGGTCAGATGGCAAACATGACTAATAAAATCTCAGAAGAAAACCATTTCCCTGGAGGTTTCCTGATCCATAAATCAGCACAAGACAGCTCTAGGAGGCGGAGGAGGGACAGAGGCAGCACCCCAGGAAAAAGCAGCTGCTTTTTCTAAAGGAAATCGAGCTGATGAAGTGTCTCCTCTGTACCCACCAAACACAGAACTGCAATCACCCAACACAAAGATACCTTTTTAAAGCATCAACTACATCAACCACGTTTCCAAGGCAACCCTGCCAAGACAATGCTCCCGCTTTAAATGTTTCTGTGCAAGGAGAATAATAATATAATAATGGGTCTCATAAAGCCACTTCCATTTCCAAAGGGTCTAAAAACATCTCAGAAACATTTACACACTCCAGAATCACTTCACCTGACGCTGAACTGCAGCTCCTGTGGGGTGGAACACTGGGAGCAGGGAGGAACACACGGAGGCAGCTCGGGAGGTGGGATGAAGAATATCCCCATGATTGTGTGCTGCTGGAGCAGAGCTAGTGGCAGGGATGGGGGAACATGGCTGCATGCTGAGATCTGTAAGACCCCAGGAGATGTGGAGCAGCTGCATCCTAAATGAGCCTGCCTGGATAAATTGATAGTTCAGAGGGAGTTGAGGCAGGCTGAGGATAAAAAATCTGAGGAATGAGCACCACAGCCTGATGCCACACATTCCTGAGCAGCTGCCCCTTTGATAGCCCTCACAATATATCACAGCATTAATTATGCCCAGGCAGTGCTACACAAAACCTGAGAGCATCACTCCCTGTGGTCTCTGCCCAGTGGAGCTGGGGGGTTCCTGCATCATCTGCAGCAGCAGATGCCTCTCCTACCGTCTTACCAAAAAACAAAGATGGGTGAGATACTAATCAAGGAGATGTCAGTGGGGGTTTCCTTATAATTTTCTTCATCTGCCAAAAGAATCTTCTCTTTATCAAAGAGGTAACAAACGACCTGGTTTCTGCCCAAAGTGACAAGGTTAGAGGTGTCTGAGTTTAGGTCATGTGCAACATCCAAGGATTGGTATTACCCTACAATTCAGGTACCCACTGGCCTCCTACTGACCTTCTTGGAATTCCTACTGGAGAAGCAAGAGGTCATTCCACCCCTGCTGAGCATGGCCACTTCCACAAGGAGAAATAAGTTTAGAAAAGGATTGGAAAAAAAAAAAAAAAAAAAGCCAGGACACACATTCAAGGCACAGGAGAAAGCCCCTGAAGGGCTGAGCTGCTGCTGGCACTTCAGAGCCTGCAACCTGGAACATCTCCAAACCCCTTGGCCATGCTGCTCCCAGGGACCAAGGGCCCGTCCCGGTGCCAGGGGGTCTGAGTGGGACACTCTGCAAAGGACAGTGTCCCACAGGACAAAACCCTCCTGGGCACCACAGCACCACCCTGAATTTGTGAGTCCTACACACAGATGTGTGAGTGCTGCTCCTCAGTCTCGGGGAGATGGATTTCATGGAGTACCCAACCTGAAACACTCAGTAACATTACAGCCTTCCCAGGGAGTCATTTCTTCCTGTCTGCAAGTTAATGAGTTGAAAACAAAGAAAAATATAATCTCAGGCAGCAACAACAACAATATTTATCTAAAGCACACGATCTTTCCAATTGTTAGGTTTATTTAACTCTTTATAATGCCAATGGGTAAAGTCAGGCTGCTTATTTCAGGGAGAGGAAAGAGTTTTTCCAGGCTCAATTGGGATGATGGCTTCATTTAAATCCCTTTGGTTTTCCCAGAGTCACCCTTACCTGCTGAGTGGAGCCTTCTCCACTACAGAAAGGGGAAACAAACTGAATTTTAATCAGAAGGTTTCTATTCTGATCACTGCTGGTCTCCTTTGGCTTTATAGTTACCAATAAAACCTTAAAGAGACGATCACCGATGGATTCATTATGATTGATTGCACCTGCCCACCCTCTTGCATTTTAAGGGGCCTCATTACTGGATGTTCAAGAATTTAATTTCAGAGCATGTGTAATAAACCTTGTACTTGGCCACCTAATTGGTTCAGCCGTCGCTTCTGTGCCTTGGCTGAAAAGCCAATAAAAGGAGCACAAAAAAGAAGAATATTAATAGTTCTGACTCTGTAAAGATAAGCTCAGCAGCTGGGTTATGCTTTAATTAATACATGGAGAGCAAAGAATGCTGCCTTAAAAAGAGGTTACCATCAGATTAAAGAATACCTTGCAATTACTTATTTGTTTGTTCATTTTTGTATCCCACACACATTTAGCTCTCTGTGTCCCTCACAGATGCTTTACCTCTGAGCTCGAGAACCCTGAGAAAAAGAAAACTCGCACATTAAATTCTGCAGAGTGAAAAATGCACAAGAATACTTTAATCATCATCTTTTACTAGAGGATCCTCTGTAATGATTCTCCTTACTAAAAATTAAATTTATTATTCAATTTCTCTCACCAAAGGTATTTGAAAATGGATTAAAATTGTAGGCAGATGGGTTTGGATGCTCTGAAGTGTTAGTGGTGATAACTAAAATAGAGCAGCTCAAGTAGTTTGGTCTGCAGTGAGTTAAATGTGGATAACATGCCCCAAAATATACGAAGAATTTTGCTGCAAGATACTTTTAGGTATTTTTGCTTCTTGCATGTGGCAATTCCAATGAGCACATGGCCTGGAGTCAGCAGCTCTTCCTGCTGCTTCCCACACTGGGAATGCTGGTCTGGGTACCTGCTAGCAGTCAGGAATAGTGCTCCACCTCACTGATTGTTGTCATGGAACAGAACAGGGAGAGAGATCATGTGGGATGGGCAGGGACCAGACCCCTGGTCCTCCTGGACCAGCTGGGGACAGACAGAGACCTGTTGCTCACACCTTTTTTTCTAAGAAACAACCCCTGTGGAAAATGTATTGTCTTGCTTTTCCTACCTGCAAATGCCAACCAGGAATTTTAATGGGATATTTGACTTGCTTGAACAAATGCAGGGTTCATTAGTTGTTATTTTTTCCCAGTGATAGGCAGTGGTAAATCCCACACTAGACTTTTGTGACTGTGTCTAATAAATGTTGCCTAGAGCCCTGGTGCTGTCTTTAATAAGCACAAATCTTGCTGCTACGCTGTTTGCTTGTTCTTTCTTCCAAAAAAGAAAGAGCTGCTGATGGCTTATGCTCCCCCCATCTTCCCTTTGTTGTCAGAAAGGCTCATTTTTTCCAAGATATGGGAGCTGAACGGATATTATTTTCTATGCTTTTAAAAAAGGAACAAAAAACAACACAAAACCCCCTTTGTTTTTATTTGCTGACTCTTTTCTTAAGACACCCTAATGACAGTAACAGTTTGTAATGGTGGTGTGGCCCAGAACCTGCTATCAGCACAATAGGCACAAAATGCTGCTTTGTGGTGCCCGTGGATCATTAAAGCTCCTCACATGCTGCAGGGTGGAAGTTACTGATGGCTCCTGTCTCCCTCCCAACGTCAGAGATCACCTCTTGAAAGCAGATTTCTTTCTCTAGTGCTCCGTGGTTTTATGGACTGACACACTCCAGGAAAGCTCCAGAGGGCAAATCCACATCTCTGAACCACTTCCACCCCAACAACAACAACCTGCCTCTTCCCCTTCCTGTCACAGGAGTGTTCTGAACAACGTGAGCTCCCAGAGCAGGTTTATAGGACAAAGATGAGAAGGATGAAAGTTTTTATTCACTGCAAAATGGGCTTCTGGGCTCTTTTGCAAAGATTGTGAATTTTTTTTTAGTTCATTTACAACATTCCTGAGAACACAAGGGAGGAATAAAACTCTGGAGGAAAGTGGTGAGCCCATCCTGCAGGGCAGACAGTCCTGGTAGGACTGCCCATGGCAGGAGTTTGGACTGAGATGAGCTTTAGGGTCTCTTCCAACCTCAACCATTCCATGACTCTATCAACATATGGAAGAAGAAAATGCATCCTCATGCTGACTTCAATTATCTTGTATTCTCCCTGAACTTACTT